TCCTTTGTAAGACTTTTATATAGTTTGACAGATCTTACTGGAAGGAAGATTTCTGGGTACTCAGACTATGACCATATATACAAGGTGCAAATTGACTCTCACAGCTAAAACAGATTATAAACATAAACAAAAATATTATAATAAATATGCTGACAACAATTAGTGGAATAATTGCTGCAGAATAAATAGCTTCTATACACTATATTAATATAGTGTGGATACATAATAACTGAACCATTCCCAAGCATTACTGATTGGAAACTGGTTCACAACTGTGTGAAGTACTGTGGCTCCAACAATAGAGGGTGGGAGTTAGCACCCAGCACAGCACACCTCCCAGTGGGTGAGAGGGGGGCCAAAAGGGAGCACTTCCACCAATGCTTTGGGAGTCCCGGGAATAGATAACCTAGAGGTGAGAGCATTTTTACTTTCCTGCTTTCCTTTTGCTCCGAAATATGAGTGCAATAAATGTAAATAGTTGGCAAATGACTGAAGTCTTCAGTGTGCATGCCTAACTCAAGTGTCAGCCCCCACCAGGAAAGAGTGATTGAGCCCATACTTCCAGTTCCCAAGGGATGAGGAGGGGAGGAGGAAGGGCTGTGGTCAACTAGGAAGTGAGGACACAGCTGGTTGTCAGGTAGGTTTTATTGACCAAGCAGTACAAAAGCACTACTACTTTGATAAAAAGTACCAACAAAAGGAAAAAAAAAAAAAATGGACAGCAGAGTTCTTGGCTGTGCACCAGAGAACCAACCCGTTGTGGCAGTGTGTGGGTGTGTGAGGAGGATGCAGAGAGGAGGAGCAAAGCAGTGCGGGATGCTTGGAGGACTAACCAGACCCATATCACAGAATGCTTGCTGTCCACATAACAGTAAGCTTTATTTTCCAGGCACACTTTTGAACTGATCCAGGCAGATCTGAACTGGTTTAACATGCTTGCATATCTATCCACCTGTGTTTCCATGCCCAGAAAGGGTGCATACAGACAAGTTCCCACATGGCTGTAGAATAGGCTTTTCCCCTTACTATAGATACGCCTTAGAACTTCGTATTATTAATAATAGGGCTGTGCGAAGCTTTGGTCCCTGATTCAATTCAGCAGAGACTC